TTCCCTGTCAGTACATAGTTGAATTCATATCACTTAATTCAGTGTCCCTAAATGAGAAGCATTTTTTGGTCCTGAGAAATAAATGGGCACATGGCCCAGATGATAAAAACTCTGGGCCACCTGCTATAGTTTTGCTTCCCAACTTGCCACTTCTTTCAGTGGTAACAGGGGTTGAAATAATTGAACTGATAAGGTCGCAAATCCTGGTAGTTATGCTGGTTGCCTTAGTGTTTTGTTATAAAAACAAAACAGCCCTCCCCCACGAACTTAATTATAGCAAAAAATATTTATTGAACAAATTTTGTATAGATATCCTAATCTATTCCACCAAGTTAATAAACTTTATATAAATTGCCTTAATTATTTCTTATAACAACCCTATGAGGTAGGAGTTTCTTACTGGTAACTGCTAAGACATCCTATATCTTTAAAATCTTTTAAAATTTAAAAAAATTATTCTTAAATTTTATTCTTAAAACTGTTTTCCAAGTTTTATATTAGATGCCCCGAGGTTAAAGTTAAGTAACTTACCAAGGTCATATTACAAATTAATGAGACGGGCTCCTTTAACCAATTCCCAAATGTATTTCCTAAAACAGCTAAACTTGCCCTTTCAGTGACAGACCTTTCTAACAAATTCATCTTGCTGACTTGGATGGAAGGGTGCTGGGCTTGGATATCTAGGACCCAGAAGAACAGCTGTTTGGGGAAAGTTTAGGCGAGTTAGTGGGATGCTTGTAAGCTAAATAAGAAAATGCCCTGCAAATACCCAGGGGGCACGAACACTGCTAGTTAGGGAGGATTGAGAGTAGGGTATGGATTGTAGGGAGAGGAACTGAGCCCTGGGCAGGGAGCTTCCTTTATTCATAGGAGCTGACAGTACTGTCCACAAGGTATCTTAGTTAGAAAGGAAGCAGGGATTCATCTTCTCATTAAACAGCACTAGCTGTGCAACCGAGCAACCACGGTAGAATTTCATCGCAACAGAAGCACGTCTTGTGGATGTGGTTTGGCATTCTTTGTATTAAGAAGGAAGACACCGAAGAAATATTACCACCTTCATTTTACATTCAGGTGTTACACTGTGATGAAAACCTGGAACACGCGGGCTGATTGAACAGCTAATATAAAGACTGAGTATGGTTCAGAATGAGTAACTTAAAAGAAGTAACTGGGGAACCCTGGAGTCAATGAAAGACCAACATTCTTCACCCATCATCAGCCAGACAGCGGGGCCTCTCTAGTGGGGGCTGAGCATTATGCAGTGGCCTTCCCATAAGTATAGATCAGAACCCCCAAATGCCTTTTGCTGGATTGTGTGTTATATGTCCAAACTACTTTTAAAAAGGCAGATTTGGGAAAGAGGATGTTTTTTAAAGCATCAAAATAACCAACCCTTTAGGAGTCCAGCAGCCTCTCCATAAACCCCTGTTGAAGCGTCTTGGCCCATAGCATTTGGAGCCACTGTGATACTGTCCTGAGCCTGCTTCTCTCAGACCCATGTACTTTGTGTCCTGACAGGATCTCCAATGAAAACTACATTCCTCATGGGCTGAAGGTGGTTCAGCGCCACACCCAGGGCGGGCTGCGCTCCCTCATGCAGCTGGAGAGCCGCTGGCGGCAGCACTTCCTCGACTCCATGCAGCCCAAGCACCTGCCCCAGCAGTGGTCGGTGGACCACAACCACCAGAAGCTGCTCCGGAAATATGGGGAGGACCTTCCCATCAAGCTGTCGTGATGGCTGCTTCCCTTCCACGTTGGGACAGCTGGGAAGCTGGAGCCAGGGGTGAAAATTTCACCTCTTCCTGTTTTAATGTCATTGTCAAAGCCTGGTGACACAACTCACAATACTAACCTGTACTGATCCCAGGATGCTTCTGGTGGAGCAAGGCTGTTGTTTTCAGGGGGAGCTTATGGTCTTGAATTTTAGCTGGGCAGGGTGAGAGTTCTTTACTCCACCCTCTTACTTTATTTTTCTGGACAAATGGGAGGCTTGGCCTTCATTTTACTCTCCCTCTTCTGCTTTCCCTGTACAGGTGACAAATGAAGGATTCTGCCTGAAGTGTCTTGTCAAGACACTCAGGTTTTTAATGCATTTCCTCCCTGTCCAGCATGTTGGTTCATCTCAAACAGGAGCTGTCAAGTATTTCAAGCCCATCAGGTTAGGAGGGGAAAAAACGTTCTTCTAGAGGTTGGAGAGCTGAAAAGGGGTCGGATTCATATTCCCAGTTCAACCTCATAATTAGAAATTCTTTGGCTTAGTGCTCTGCGGTAACTCACCTAGTTGGGATCCAGCCCATCTGGGTTGCTTCTGTTTATTTCACATAAAATGCTCCCGTTTACACATTCAGGACCAAAGCAGCAACTTCCTGCCATATGTTTTCACCCTAACGCTGGAGGGAATTCTTTTCTGGAAAGAGGCCTTCAGCCTGGGTGGGGCACAGAGAAGCACAAGAACCATCTCCCAAGAGAACTTGGATAATTTGCTCAGCTTTCCCATTCGCTGTTTCTTGCAAGCCTCCTGCCCAGAACTGCAAGGTTTTTAGCTTAATCCCTTTCTGAGAGGAAGGTTATCTTTTCTCAGAATCAGTATCTGGTCCCTTCAGTGTTCCATCAGGTTTGCAATACTGACCTCTTTTAAGCTCTTAATTCTCTCCCAGAGTCATTTGGTTAGGTTGAGAGGATTCTCCATCTCCCTTCATGCCTGGGATGCCAAGACTAATTAATACGTTTTGGTGTTCAAAACGGTGGTGTTTCATCTTTCCAAACGTGAGGCCACCACTTGGAGTGCGGAATCAACTTATTAGCGGTTAGTATTTTTATAAAGTATTAGGAAAACTTTCTTACCTTACAAGATCTTAACAAGCTTAAAAAGGAGCTTTATGGCCAGAATTCAACAAGAGCTCTGTTCTTGCGGAATTGTGCCCGAGTTGGTGATGGTTGCTCTAACACTGGTAAATAAAACAACTTCTAAGCACAAAGTTCATTGATTGTAAATGTAAAACCTTTTTCTTCATAATTTTATAAAACCGGCAAATATTCTTGGGGAAGGAGATCTTTATGCTATAGGTCCCTGCCATGTGGCAGCCCGTGATATGTGTGCAGATGTCGTCGTGTGCCCACATCAACAGCTTTGGCCTGTCGACAGCAGCCCACAGCACATGCACACCCTGCAGTTTGTTCCTCTGCCCTTTCATCCCCACTCATCCTCGAACAGGTGTCTCTGGGATCTAAACTAGAAAGTCTTGAAGACAAATAGTAGTACCAGCTGCCTTGGGGACCGTTTGTTCAACACACTAAGGTTATTATGGGGCAGGTTCCTCGGGCTGTTACTGCCCACAGCCTGGGGCGGAGAACCGTGGAGATGGATAAGTGGTTGTCGTAGTCAGGCTTGCCACAAGGGGGCGTCGTAGATCTTGCTTTATATTCATTCCTGAGAAATAAGGGGCTTTGATAACCCGGTTCCTAAACATAACTCATTAAAAAAAAAAAAAAACCTCATGACTTATGTTTCAGATTGTGTCTATCTCACTTTGAGTCATCTTGACAGCTTTACAAGAAAAACGTCTTCCTCCGAAACAAGAGAGTAGGGCTCTTCCTTT